AAATTTCATGAAACAACATATGAGCAAGAGCCTATGGTGATAAAGGAAGAAGTTCAAGCTGCTCTGAAGGAATTGGCAAAAAACAAGCTCCCAGGAATTGAAGCTATCAATTGGCATAGTTCAACAGACAGATGCTGCCCTGGATGTGCTCACCAAGTTGTGCCAAGAAATCTGGTGGCCAACCACCTGGTCACCTGACTGGAAGAGATCCATGTTTATTCCCATTCCAAAGAAAGGTGACTCAACAGAGTGGGGAAACTATCAAATAATATCATTAATATCAGACGCAAGTAAAATCCTGCTGAAAAATGGTCCAAAAATTGCTGGAACAGCACATCAACACAGACCTGCCGGATGTTCGGTCTGTATTTAGGAGAGGCTCTGGTAATAAGGATACTATAGCTGATGTTAGATAGATCTTGGCTGAAAGAAGAGAGTACCAGAAAAAAATGTCTATGTTTCATTGACTATGCAAAGGCATTTGACTGTGTGGATCACAACAAACTGTGGCTAACTCCAAGGAGAATAAGAATTCCAGAACATTTGATTGTGCTTATGCAAAAAAATATACTTGGACAAGGAGGCAGTCATCAGAACAGAGCAAGAAAACTCTTCATGATTCAAAATCGAGAAGGGTGTATTCCAGGGATGCATCCTATCTCCATATCTTTTCAATCTATATGCAGAACAGATCATCTGGGAGGTTGGGCTCTTTGAGGAGGAGTGTGACATCATGATTGGAGGAAGGCTTATCAACAACCTGCATTATGCAGATGACACAACCTTGCTTGCTGAAACTGAGGAGGACTTAACTTGCTGCAGAAGGTCAAGGACTGCAGCCTTCAATATGGATTGAAGCTCAACATCAAGAAAACAAAGATTCTCACCATTGGGCCAATTGGCAGCATCATAATAGATGCTGAAGAGATTGAGATTATTAACAGTTTTAGTTTGCTTGGCTCCACAATCAAAACTCTAGGTACTGGCAACCAGGAAATCAAAAGTCGAACTGCATTGGGAAAGTTAGCTGTCACAGATCTCTCCAAAGTACTGAAGAGCAATGATGACAGTCTATAGACTAAGGTACACCTTATTCAGGCTATGGTCTTCGCAATTACTTGCTATGCATCACAAAGCCGGACAATGACTAGGGATGATAAAAGGAGCCTTTGAGCTGTGGTTCTGGAGAAGAGCACTGAGTATACTATGGACTGCTAGGAAGAGAAACAGATTCATCCTAGAGAGAGTTAAACCAGGTCACTCCTTTGAGGCTTCGTTTCTGAAGCTTTGTTTAACGTACTTTGTGCATGTTGCAAGGAGTGACCAGTCATTGGAGAAGGACATCATGCTTGGGAGAGTGGAGGGAAAGCACAAGGGAGGAAGATCTTCGATGAGATGTATTGATTCAGTGACTGGGATAATGGGGTGTATCAGAGACAATGAGGTTAGCTCAGGATAAAGCAGGGTTCAGAGCTGCTGTACATAGGGTCGCTATGAGTCACAAGCGACTCACCTGCCCATAACAACAACAATGGATAGCTTCTATGAGCTCTCTGGTAGGGCAAACAATTGGCGTTCTCAGTTTCTAACCAAAAGTTGAGAAGTTTGAGTCCACCCAGTGATACATCTGCAGATCACTGGATGAGTTCAAACTACTGCTCTTTCCCTGGGCAGCTTAACCAGTGTGCCAACAGGACTTGTGGCTATATTCTAACTTTTTGCTGTGGAGTTGGAACGGACTCATAACTGATCCTCCAGTGGGTTTCTGAGGCTGTAACTTCCACAGGAGGATATTTTTCACCTTTCTCGTGTGGAGTAGCTGGAAATTCAGACCACCAGAAAGGTATGGGCTTTGGTTTAACAGGCAACTCTTTATGGTCTATGCCGTCAGAGCTCCCCACGAAGAGAACAGTGATGGCAAAATAGTTCACATTCTCATTGAGAAAAGCAAGTTTTTCTCACTCATCTCTGTCTGAATGTGGCAAATAGTTAACTAAATAAATAGTTGTGAGATTGAATGGCAGTTAAAACCCAAGGGACTGTCTCAGACGGTGGCCCTTAAACACTTTTCTAAAAAAAAAAAATATCCTGGAACTGAACCCACTCTTGGGAATCACCTTGCATGTATCCAAACTACAGACAGGACTATGCTGTCGCTGTAGGCATAGTTGAGTTGACTACAACCCATAGAAATCCTATAAACAGCAGGTCACAACTTTACGTCATCCTGCACCATTTTCACTATCTCTGTTATATTCAAGACCATTACTGCAGTCACTGGTCAATGCTTCTCATTAAGAGTCTTCCCTTCCTTCACTGACCCTCTGTAGTTTTCCAAACACATTGACTTTTTTCATAGATTGACCCTGAGAAAATACCCAAAGTTAGTGAGAGGAAGTTTCACCATCCCTGCCTCTAAGAAGCACTTGTGCAGTACTTATTCCAACACAGATTTGTTTGTTCTTTTGGCAGTTCACATATATTCAATATTCTTTACTATAACATCACAATTCAAAGGTATCAACTCTTCTTCAATCTTCTTTACGCTGTGTCTACCTTGCATATATACATATAAAGACAATGAAAACACCATGGTTTGGATCATACACATCTTAGTTTTTAAATCGACAGGGCTACATCAACAGAGAACTTCCAGAAGTGCAGGCTAGGTGTGGAAGAGGTTGTGGTACTAGGGATGGATCTTGGCTGAAAACAGGGAGTACCAGAGGAATGTCTATCTGTGTTTCATTGACTATGTAAAGGCATTTGATTGTGTGGATCTCAACAAATTGTGGCTGACTCTGAGGAGAATGGGGATCCCAAAACACTTGATCATGCTAATGCAAAACCTTTGCTTGGACCAGGAGGCAGTTGTCAGAACAGAGCAGGGAAACACTGCATCGTTCAAAATTGGGAAAGGTTTATGTCAAGGATGTGTCCTATCTTCATACCTTTTCAATCTATATGCAGAACAGATTATCCGGAAGGCAGGACTCTATGAGGAAAAAAGTGGCATCAGGATTGGAGGAAGCCTCATCAACAATCTGTGTTATGCAAATGACACAACACTGTTTGCTGAAACTGAGGAGGACCTGAGGCATTTGGCTCAGAAGGTCAAGAATTGCAGCCTTCAATATGGATTGAAGCTCAGCATCAAGAAAACAAAGATTCTCACCACTGGGCCTATTGGCAGCATCATGATAGATGTTGAAGAGATTGAGATTGTTAACAGTTTTAGTTTGCTTGGCTCTACTAGCAACACTCTAGGTATCTACAACCAGGAAATTAAAAGATGAATTGCATTGGGAAAGTCTGCTGTCATATATCTCTCCAGAGTACTGAAGAGCAATGTCAGTCTGGAGACTAAGGTGCACCTGATCCAGGTCATAGTCTTCGCAATTACTTGTGATGCAACAGAAAGCTGGACAATGAATAGGGATGATAGAAAGAGAGTTGATGCCTTTGAGTTGTGGTGCTAGAGAAGAGTATTGAATATCCATGGACTGCAAAAAGGACAAACAGGTTCATTTTAGAGAGGGTGAAACCAGCCTACTCCTTGGAGGCAAGGATTCTGAAGCTTCATTTGACATACTTTGGACATGATGCAAGGAGGGACCAGTCCTTGGAGAGGGGCATCATGTTTGGGAGGGTGGAGGGACAGCACAGGAGGGGAAGACCGTCGATGAGGTGGATTGATTCAGTGACTGGGGTATTGGAGGTAGGTGTATCAGAGACAATAAGATTGGCACAGGATAGAGTAGGGTTTAGGGCTGTTGTACATAGGGTCACTATGAGTTGCAGGCAATGCAACAGCACATAACAACAACAGCAACAACAACATAATGGAAATGGAGAACCCAGGGAGGAAGAGGGGAAAGTTCTGTTATTTTGAGGGAATTGTAACCCATGTGACAAAACAAAATATTTATAAATTGTTCATTAGATAACCAATTTGCTTTGTAAACTGTCATAGACTGAATTTCTACCTGCTTAAAATAAATGTATATAATGATAGACTTTGAAAGCTGTATAATGATCCCCATGATCTGATAAAACAAATACAGGCAAGGGTATTAAGGGTAGAATATTCCTTAAATCTATCACAGCCTTAATAGGAGATAAGGGGATTTTCACTAGGATGTGGCCTACAATACCTTTTATCGAGAGATAAAAGGAGAGAATAGTCGACCAAGAAGAGAGGATCCTTATGACCACCAAGGAAGACTCATCAGGAGTGGAGCGCATCTTTCTGGGCCCAGGCTATTGCCTGAAGAAGCTCCTTACCAGCAGGGAAGGACACATTGAGCTCTCCAGGGAATGCCAGGCCTACAGATGCGGAAAGAAACAAGGGCTTTCCTCCACAATCAACAGAACAAGCCTGCTTCTAGAGCTGGCTCCCTGCACTTGGACTTCCAGCCTCTTAAATGGTAAGAGCCTCAATTTCTGTTTGTCAAACCATCCACTTATGGGACTTCATTCTAGCAGCATGGGATAATCAAGACCTAAAGTCTCACTCAAACCACAATTTTAAAACACAAACACTAAAATCAGAAAGATGGGGGGAAAATCCTCAAGTGAGAAAAGGAAACAACAGTTCTTTAGTTCACTGAGATTTCTCACCATCAACAGGTGAAAGTTCATTGCCATTAAGAAGAACAAAACACATTCCTTTCCTTCCTTCCTGAAACACAGCAAAATCTCAGCCTGGGTCCTGGGACATAATTAGGATAGCAAAACTCTCTTCTCAACGTCATACACACAAGAAGGCATCTTCAGATAAAGAGAAGGAAGAAAACCATGAAATAAATTATGAGAAACAACACAAGTATTTTTTAAATTTATTCTTTCAGCGATAGACTGGACTGTGGAAATAATTTTGCTTTGGTGTAATTACTGCAGTAATTTGTGTCATTAGCGATGTAAACTCCCTGGACGGCTTCTTTGTTCAGTGGCTTAGGCTGAGTGGTGTGGCAGGTCTATAAAGCCTGTCACAGTCATGGTCATGGGCTGGTGAATAGCAAGAAGCCCGTGAAAGTGGTGTCATCATCTTCATCTGCAAACAAGCCATTGAACCGCTCACCACCTGTCACCTGCATCCATACCTCGTCCCCCAGCTTCAGCTCCAGGACCATGCCCCCAGAGGCCTGGTCTTCTGAGCTCAGATAACCATCTTTGGTGTTCAGGACCTTCACCCCATTCCGCACCAAGGACACCTGCACGTTCCTGGAGAAGACCGTGATGTGGTAGGTGAAGTAATAGACGCCAGCCACGTGGCAGGTGAACTTCCCCGTGGCCACATTGTAGTGGTTGAACTCATTGTAGAGGATCCGATCAAACTTGATGGGTAAATCCGAGGCTGGAAACTTGCTCAACACGGTCAGTCCCACAGTGAAGGCACTCTTGGGCAGCACAGGTGTTTCCCCAATTTTCCCTTTTTCTCCTCGGTCCCCTTTCCAGCCTCTCAGGCCTCGAGCTCCTGGCTCCCCCTGAGGCCCCACAGGTCCAGCATCTCCCTGGGGGCCAGGCTTCCCAATGGGGCCAACAGGACCACGTAAGCCAGTCGGACCCAAAGGTCCAGGGTTTCCCTGCAAGCCTTCTGGTCCCATGGGCCCCACCTCACCCTTAATCCCCTTTTGCCCTTGAATGCCGGGGTCCCCTTTGAGGCCTTTCTCTCCCATGGGACCCACAAGTCCCTTCGGCCCATGCTTCCCTGGTGATCCTCTTGAGCCTGGTTCACCTTTGATGCCTTTTGCTTCTACTTTTCCATCTGCTCCTAATTGGAAAAGAAGAACAACGGAAGTGACGACTATAAACTGTGAGCTGCTGGAAAGTAACTTTTGTTCTTTCTACAGCAGGGCCTATGAAAGAGGGAAAGCAGTATACAGGGATAGCATAGGTGCAAGGGTTGATGTTCATTTACTACCAAGTTCTGCATGCATGCACACATGTTGCTGTTAAGTGCCGTCAAGTCGCAGGTGACTCACAGCGACCCTATGGAAGAGAGTCCTCAACGCTGGGTGCCTTTCATCCTCTCTCCAGGTTCATAGGGTTTCTGGAGGCAAGCTATTACAGAAGTGGATGCCACTCCTCCTTCCAAGCTTGTTTTAATTGGGGAGCTCCACCCCACTCTCTGTCTGCATTGGGTAACCAGCCATTAATGCATTTGGCACATCAGATGCACACATACACATGTTAAAAATTTTAGAAAGAAAATATTGTGGTTGTCGGGTGCCTTTTAGTCAGCTGTCAATTCGTAGTTATTGCTAGGGATTGAATTGTGTTCCCTCAAAATTATTTTATACCCCAGCAACAATAGCAAAGTTCAACAGGGCAGCAAACAACAAATGTTGGTGAGGTTGTGGAGATATTTGAACACTTATTCACTGATGGTGGGAGTGTGAAATGGTATAGCCACTACAGAGGGCATTCTGGCACTTTCTCAAAAAGTTGAAAATAGAAATACCATTTGACCCAGCAATTTTATTACTGAGGATACACCCTAAAGAAATCAGAGCCATGACTCAAAGAGATAAATGCACACCCTGCTTATTGTTGCATTATTCACAATAGCAAAGAGATGGAAGCAACTCAAATGCCCATTAACAAACAAATGGATAGAAAAACAATGGTCCATTCACCCAATGGATTATTATTCAGCACTGAAAAACAATGAACTCATAAAACACTAAATGCAACATGGGAGAGTTTGGAGGACATTATGATGAGTGAAATATCTCAGTCACAAAAAGACAAATCACTGTTATAAAAATAGGGCAGACATGAGAAAGGTTGGGGGAGAGAATTGAGAAAGTGTAGATAGATAATGAACACTGCATTAGATCAGATGAGGGAAAGAACGGTACAAAAGTAATATATAATTAGGCATTATATGTATGACAACAATCTGGAACAAGGGGTGCATTGCAGGGAGGGCTAGGGGAAGGAGGAGAAGGAAAAAATGTGCAACAATGTTAAAAAAATAATAAATTTTTAAAAAAATTATGTCATGTGCAGAAGTTGTGTAACAACCCCTAATGATCTGATAAACCAAATAGTTGTTCCAGGGTTAATGCAACACTGAGTAAACCCATCACAACCCTGATACAATCTATGGGAAGTTTCCATAAAGTGGCCTGTAACACCTTTTATATCACAAGAGAGGTGAAAGTGGAGAAAAGGGAGCTGAGAGAGGGCACCTCAGGACCACCAAGAAAGAATCGCCAGGAGTGGAGCATATCTGCATGGACTAGGCACCTGCACTGGGAACCTTCCTGATGCCAAGGAGGACCAAGATGCATGGAGATCTCCGGGGAACTTGCCTGCAGGTTCTGGAGGAGCCACAGTCCTTCTTCTAAAACCTGGAAAGAAAGGGCTCTCCCTACATGCTTTTGTTCTTTAGGTTGTGCAGACATTTTCACTCTCCTTTTCTGAGCAGTCTCTTCCTCATTGATAGAAACTCATTGCCAGCAAAGATTCCCATTTAATCTTTAGAGTTGCTTTTGTCAGTTTGATCCAAGATAGATTTTTCTTTAAAAGCAGCATCTTGAAACATTCTTTACTAATTAAATTGACCTATTGTTTCATTCAAGGGGCCCTAGTAGTGTAAAGTAGAATGTAGTGGACTGCTAACAGAGAGGATGGCAGATTGAATCCACCAGCTGCTCTGAAGGAGAAAGATGGGCAGTGTCCTCCTTTAAAGATTTCTATGCCCTGAGAAATCTGATAGAGGGTGAATATGAATTAGACTTGACTCTAAGGGCAATGGATTTGGTTGGTTTCATTGTTTGATTTAAGAAGTTCTGGTGGCACAGTGGTGAAAGAATTTGACAAATAAACCAAACGCTAGTAATTTTAATCTATTAGCTACCCTCCCCTGCTGCCCCTGCAGAAAGATTAGCTACTCTGAAGGAGATAAATGAATCCATGGACTTTGTAAAGATTTACAGTCTCATGGGTCATTCTACTATGTCCTATGGGATCACTTTGAATTGGCATTGAGAGGACACCAGAGGGTTTTATTTTTTGGTTTAAAGAAGATGTATGGGAATGTTTTGGCTTAAGCTTTAAAAATTCTCTCAGAGCAATAATTTTTGAAATCCAGAAAGTCTAGATTCTTCAGTTAATGGAATTTTGTTCTACATTTCCCCCCTTTTGATCAAGATTGTCCTAAAAGTTCTTAGATCAACCATTCAGCAATAAGAGCTTTTAAAGAACAAGAACGGTGTTGCTTTGTCTTTGGATCATCCCAGAGTTTAGTAAAGAGCTTATTCTTGGCAAACAACAATTATTACTCATTCATTGGAAGAATTAGATCACAGTAAAATAGGGAAACATTTTCTGACCTTGTTCTCCTTTTTGTCCATTAATTCCATCTTTACCTGGACCTCCGGGAATTCCTGGTTCTCCTAGATGAGGGGAAAGAAACAGGAAAAAACGGAAAATTCTCATTCCATCTTCATTATACATTGGTCTCAAAGACTAATGAATGTGGAAAGGTCCACAGAGCAACGCCATCCTCCCTTGTTATGGAAAGAGGCAGATAGGAGGAAATCTCAAGCCAGTGGTTGTTTTTAGTTGCCATTGAACCCATTTCCATTCACGATGATCTGATGTCTGATGAAATGAAGTGTTGCCCAATCTTGTGTCATCTTCATAGTCTCTGCTATGTTTGATCCATTGTTGTAACTATTGGGGCAATCATCTCACTGAATGTTTTCTTTATTTGACCAATTCAGTACAAAACATGCTAGCTGTACTAGTGATTGGCCTTTCCTGTTGACATGTCTGTCCTAACTAAGTGAGCTGGAGTTTCACTACCTGTACTTCTAGGACTCATGCAGCCCAAATGAAGAGTAATAAGTGAATTATCAAAACTGCTGTATGGACCTCCCAAGGCCCTTGCTCCGAGATGAGATGAGCACACAGAACAGCAGGTGAGGGCTTGGGCTGGGTGCAACAAAGACCATGACTGCTTAGCGGAAATGAGACTCAGGAGGAGGAAATGAGGAGGGAGGGGGAGAGGTGCAAGCACATTATGGGCACTGAAATGATGAAAGTTATACAAGTGTTCGGTTCTTTCGCTCATAGGGTCACTATGAGTTATCTATGATTTGACAGCACTTATCAATAACAACAAATGCAAACCAGTATAATCCATAAACTTTCACTCAAATTAAAAAACAATTTTTTAAAATTAGCAATCACAAGAAAGAAAGGTTGGATGAGAAGTCAATCTGTTTCATAAACTCAAAACTCAATGTTGTTGTTGTTGTTGTTATGTGCCATCGAGTCACTTGCGACTCATAGCGACCCCGTGTACAAGAGCCCTAAACGCCATTCTATCCTGTGCCAACCTCGCCGTCTCTAACACACTTATTCCCACCACTCCACTCACAGAATCGATCCATCTCATCAAGGGTCTCCCTCTCCTGCGCCGTTCCTCCACTCTGCCAAACATGATGTCCCTCTCCAAGGACCAGTCCCTCCTTGCAACATGCCCAAATTATGTCAGACGAAGCTTCAGAATCCTTGACTCCAAGGAGCATTCCGGCTTCCCCTCTCCAGGACAAACCTGTTTGTTCTCCTAGAAGTCCATGGTATATTCAACACTTTTCCAGCACCACAGCTTAAAGGCATCAATTCTCTTTCTATCATCCTTATTCATGGTCCAACTCTCAGATGCATAGAACATAATTGCAAAGACTATAGCCTGGGTCAGGCGTACCGTAGTCTCCAGCCTTGACGTCGTTGCTCTACAGTACTCTTGAGAGGTCTCTGACAGCTGACTTTCCCAATGTAATTCATCTCTTGATTTCCTGGCTGCTGTTACCAAGAGTGTTGACTGTGGAGCCAAGTAAACTAAAACTGTTAACTATTTCAATCTCTTCACCATCCATACTGATGCTGCCAATTGGCCCAGTGGTGAAAATCTTTGTTTTCTTGATATTGAATGTCAATCCATATTGAAGACTGCAGGACTTGACGTTCTGCAGCAAAACCCAGTAAAAATTTAAAAAACAAGGAAAAAATAGGGCATTATATGAATTGATTAAATGACTTAATAACTCTGCTAAATCTAAGTACACAATCTAAGTCTAAAAACTAAATCTGCTAAATCTAAATATATCGTTCCATAGTCTATATCAATGTGGTTATAGAAGCACAAGATAAGGTTTTATAACCCGGATTTTTTTTACTGCATGCACATAATGTATTGTCAGCTGCAGATGAGAAATAGAGAAAGCAGTTTCACACACAGAGAAGTCAGGGTTGCATTCGTCTGCCCAGCGGAGTTTCTGAATAGTGGTGAACTGCCAGCTTTCTCCTTCCTCTCCCTTCGTTATCACCCTTCTGGAGCAGAAATCTCACTAAACGTAGGTGACACCAGTAGCAGTTCTCTAGGGCTGCTGTATCAGAAATAACATGTGGGAGGCTATAACAAACAGAAATTGATTTTTTCCTAATAATGAGTCTAAAAGTCTAAGTTCAAGACAGCTCTAGGGCAAGGCTTTATTCCTGTGTCAGCTGAGGAGGAAAGTCCTTGTTTCCTCTCAGTATCTATAGGCCTGACATTCCGTGGAGATTCCCACTTGCATTGGCCTTCCCCTGTGTCAAGGAGGTTCCCAGCCCAGGGACCCAGCTCAAACAAAGTGCTCTATTTCAAGATCATCTTTCTGGAGGATAGTCAGGTCCCTCCTTCTCTGCTCATTTCTCCCTCTTCATCTCTCATAAATTAGAAGATGATTTAGGTTCCATCCCAAGGACACTCCCCTAACTTCCAATCAGGACTGTGAGCTGAGTATAGGTGTTGGATCCCATACTAGTCCCATTACAACTGATTAGCTGATCATAACACATCACCTTATTAGATATGGTTACGTCATGACATGCCTGCCAAGCCGCTGAGGAATGTGGCCTCGCTAAACTGACTCAGGTATTGGAAGAACAATTCAGTCCACTGCAGGGCCCATTAGTTGCGACTACAGGAGGTCCAGAAGGCACCAGTTGTGTTTTTTGTGATAGTTAATACCATAAATTAGATTCCCATTTGACAATTTTTGTCCAACCTGTTAAGTGACATTGATTATGGTTTCATATGGGGTCAGCATTCTGTTCAATTTTGTTATTGTTATGTTGTTATGTGTTGTTGCTTGCGACTCATAGTGACCCTATGTACAAAAGCCCTAAACCCTGATGCATCCTGTGTCAACCTCACCGTCTCTGACACACTCATTCCCATCACCCCAATCACAGAATTGATCCATCTCATCGAGGGTCTCCCTCTCCTGTGCTGTCCCTCCAATCTCCCAAACATGATGTCCCTCTCCAAGGACCAGTCCCTCCTTGCAAGATGCCCTAAGTATGTCAGATGAAGCTTCAGAATCCTTGACTCCAAGGAGCATTCCGGCTTCCCCTCTCCAGGACAAATGGGTTTGTTCTCCTAGAAGTCCATGGAATATTCAACACTCTTCTCCAGCACCACAGCGCAAAGGCATCAATTCTCTTTCTATCATCCTTATTCACTGTCCAATTCTCAGATGCATAGTATGTAATTGCAAAGACCATAGCCTGGATCAAGCACACCTTAGTCTCCAGCCTTGACGTCATTGCCCTACAGTACTCTTGAGAGGTCCCTCACAGCTGACTTTCCCAATGCAATTCATCTCCTGATTTCCTGGCTGCTGTTACCAAGAGTGTTGATTGTGGAGCCAAGTGAACTAAAACTGTTAACTATTTCAATGTCTTCACCATCCATACTGATGCTGCCAATTGGCCCAGTGGTGAGAATCTTTGTTTTCTTGATGATGAGCTTCAATCCATATCAAAGGCTGCAGTCCTTGACCTTCTGCACCAAGTGCTTCAAGTCTTCCTCAGTTTCAGCAAGCAGGGTAGTGTCATTTGCATAACACAATTTGTTGAGGACTCTTCCACCAATCCTGGTTCCACATTCTTCCTTGTACAGCCCAGCATCTCAGATGATCTGTTCTGCATACATATTGAAAAGGTATGGAGACAAAATACATCCCTGAGGGACCCTCTTCTTGATTTTGAACCATGTAATATCTCCTTGCTCTGTTCTGATGATTGATTGCTATTGGTCTAAGCATAGGTTTCACATAAGCATGAACAAATGTTCTGGGATTCCCATTCTTCTCAGAGTCAGCCACAGTTGTTGTGATCCACACACTCAAAAGCCTTTGCATAGTCAATGAAGCACAGATAGATACTCTTCTGGTATTCTCTGCTTTCTGCTAAGATCCATGTAACATTAGCTATAATATCCATAGTACCATGACCTCTTCTAAATCCAGCCTGCACATCTGGCAGTTCTCTGTTGACATCTTGCTCCAGTTATTTTTGGATAATTTTCAGCAGAATCTTGCTTGCATGTGATATTAATGATATGGTTAAGATAATTTCTTTGGAATGGAAACAAGTATCTATCTTTTCCAGTCAGTTGGGCAGCTGGTTGTCCTCCAGATGTCTTAGCACAACTGCTGCTGTCTCTTTGTTTTAGAACAACTGTTGCATAAGTAACATTTCTTGCACCTCTTCTTTCCTGCCCAGCCCTGTCTCTGGAGTCCAGAGTGGTTGTGGCAGGCAGGAAGGAGGTTACGAGTACAGGGTTGAGTAATTGTGAAGACCAATACATCCTGAGATGCATATGAGGACACACAAACGCACACACGCAGGTCCCTGAGAGAGAGATGCTGTTGTTGTTGTGTGCCCACGAGTTGCCTGCAACTCATGTGACCTTATGTAAAACAGTACTAAAACCTGCTCTATCCTGTGCCAATTTTATTGTCTCTGACACATCTACCCCCATTACCCCATTCACCAAATCAATTCACCTCATTGAGGGTCTTCCTCTCTTGCTTTGTCCCTCCACCCTCCCAAGCATGTCATCCCTCACCAAGGACTGGTCCAACATTGCAACATGCCCAGAGTATGTCAGATGAAGCTTCAGAATCCTTGCCTCCAAGGAGCAGCCTGGTTTCACCCTCTCTAAAACTAACCTGTTTGTTCTCTTAGCAGTCCATGGATATTCAATACTCTTCTCCAGCACCACAGCTCAAAGGCATAAATTCTCCTTCTGTCATCCCTATTCATTGTCCAGCTGATGCATCACAAGTAATTGCCAAACTATGGCCTATATTAGGTGCACCTTAGTCTCCATACTGACATCGTTGCTTTTCAGTAGACTAGAAGACTCTACTTCAGAAAGACTGAGGTTTTGCTATTAACTTGGTCTGGATTTTTCATTGAGGAGCCCTGGTGGTGTGGTACATTACATGTTGCACTGCTATCCAAAAGGTTGAGTTCAAATCCACTTGCTGCTCCAATGGAAGCATCTGGGAAATCTCCTCCTATAAAGATTTACAGCCTTAGAATCCAGTGGAGGATT